AAAAAAACGTTTTTTTACAGACAAAATTTTAGTTTTATAGCAACCCATAAATATTCCTTCCTTTTATTATTTATAGATGATTTCATGAGAAACACGAGACCTGCCTAGTTTTAATATTCAAATTGTAGAATATTTAAATTTAGCTGGTATACAGAGATCTGTGCCTGAAGCACATTAACATTTGACTGAGGACAGTACTCAGCTGCACATCAGGAAGGAAACATTCCACTTCATAAGGTAAAAAAAATGTATTTAATTTTTTGTCTTACATATACGTAATGCAGACCTTCATGGAAAAAAAATAATAACCACCCTTATTTTTTTCTAGTTTTGCTTTTTTTTAGTTAGGCAATATTACATGAAAATGAAAACAATGATGTTATAATTATTTATGTTCATGATTATATTTGAAGAGTTCATTTGCAAAAACAGATTGCATGGTGCTGCTAATAAAATTATAAATTTTTTTATTTAGAAAAATGCAGTTATCTGTTTTTACAAATTAACTTCTCATATATCCAATATCTATAATAATAGTATCTTTTCTATTTTTGAATATTTGTGAATATCTGTGAAACTACTGACAGCTTGCACTAACTCTCATTTAAAATGAGAGATGTTTTCAGTGACACAACAAGCTAAAACTGTAAACTAGAGCCTATCCAGCACCAGGCTACACGTCATATAAATTAGCCAATGAGCTGTCAGTCTGGGTTGCTGCTGTGAGCCTTGCAGGTCGGTGTAAAGCCCACTGCTCTCATTGAACCATAAAAAAAGAAATAAAAAGGTCAGTTCAAGTGCTTTTTTAAATATGTGAATCAGGAAATTGTCTAAATACTCAACTGAACAATTGTTGTTCAAAAAATACTTTAGAATTTAAATTTGAAAATCTTTCTTTTTTTATATATATTCTTTTTATTTAAAAAGTCAATATATAACATGGATGCATAAAAACCTCATTTTATTTCAGTGTTAAACTCTGTTTAACGTAACGGATTATAATTTAAAATGTTTTCAGACTTTCACTGGTTGTATATTTTCTTTATTAAGACCCCGCTGGTTTTTAATTGGTTCCCCCTGGCCTATAGGCTTGAGTGTCGGAGGCGGAGCTAAACTGAAGGCTTCTTCAAAGGATTTTCTGTAACTCTTCATCCTCTACCTGCAATAAACATATGAAATGCTTCGGTTCATGAAGGGCACATCTGGGGGCCCTAAGCGACACCTAACTTAGAGACTCACAGGTTTAGTGGAGGATTTTTTACGAATTACTGAAAAGAAGCGCCCTCTCAACTTTTAAGAAAAAATGCAAATGCACAACCCTGTACCCATTCCTCAGAGGGAATGCTTATTAAACGCAAGACCATGCACAAGCTCATTTCTCCTTCTGCACACTCTGTTTAAAAGTTGCTGCTCATATATTACTTTCCAAAAGAAGATTTTCAATTTTTCCACTATGTCAGACTCACGATTGTTAAAAGAAAATGGGGGCGAGCAAGTAGGACGGCCTTACGTAAACATAGCACCAGAATGATTGATAATTAGGTGCACCACTTATTTTGATGATCCACCTGAAAAATGAAAATCCTACACTGTACTGTACCTTTAAGACACAATGTGACAGGCCAGGATTAAACCTGCAATGTCTGACCTTCATACATTAACCCCTGTAACACCACAGACATATCCAAGATGGTGCCGCCAAGTAACCATATTATATTGAGACAACTCTGAAATTTAAACAATATGGCTCATTTTTCTTTTAGCTGAGATGAGGAAGAGAGACAAATGTGACAGCATGTATAGAACTTACATAGTGCTCAATGTCAGACTTAATTCTCAGCAGAGAAAATTTAAAACAATAAGAAAAGCTCTTTGGTCTTGCTTAGTGTATTTATATGTAGGAGATGTAAGTGTGAAGAAAATAATTTCATTTTCAATTTTGCTTTGCTTGCAGAACAGAGTTAAACAGCTTCATGAAAAAATATTCCAGCTGATATCAAGGATGCAGTGGAGTGTGATTCTGCTCTTTCTGATGGGTAAGTTGATCTAAGCACAACAACACTCACTGGTTTCAGGTAAGATACAGACTCAACTGGAGACATGGAGAGATGGCTGCTCTATTAACACACAAAAAGTAACTGATAAAAATAGAAAACAATATTGTAATGTAGACCTTTACAATTTTGTTATTATTTTGAGAATTCATAAAATGTATGCTTTCAGGTCAGATTTGTTTAATCGACTGTCAGCTCTATGAGTATCACTACATTAATGAGGAAAAGACCTGGACTGACGCTCAGCAGTACTGCAGAGAGAAACACACTGACCTGGCCACAGTGTCTAACATGGCAGACATGAAAAGACTCAACAGAACCAGAGCAGGAAATAAGGGGGAGGCTTGGATTGGTCTGTATGATCAGACAGATGGTATCAGAACATGGTACTGGTCTCTGCCTGGATTGGAGTTCAATGAAAGTGAGACAAAATGGCACCCAGGAGAACCAAATGATGTCAATAATGGAAATGAGAACTGTGGGCATTTGAATAAGAATCTTACCTGGACAGATACCAAGTGCGATCATAAAAGACCTTTCCTCTGCTATGATGGTGAAAATTATGAATTACTTTACTGTAGTTTTAATGTCTTATCATGTAAAGTCAATGCAATGTGAGTTTCTTTCTGTTTATTCCACAGAAACTAATAGAACCCAGAAATACCACTTGATTAGAGAGAAGAAGACCTGGCAGGAAGCTCAGAGTTACTGCAGAGAGAAACACACAGACCTGATCAGTGGAATGAAGCAGCTACAGGATGGAGAAGTGGAGAGAGTGATGAACTCTGTAAAAGATGAGACATACATATATTTTGGTCTGTTCAGAGACACCTGGAGGTGGTCAGATGGAAGCAGTTTCTCTTTCAGACACTGGAATGACCAGTTAAACAATCCAAAATTCAACACTGGTCAATGTGCCATGGCTGTGTTTAAAGATGAAGGCAGATGGAGCAGTGAGGAATGTAAAACAAGAAAAAACCCCTTCATCTGTTATGAGGGTGAGCTGATTTCATAAAACCTGTCCTATGTAGGATTTTTTTTTATCAATGTCCTTTGTATGATTGTGTTGGTAATATGGTTTGAAAGCATTTAATGATTCACCATTTGAACATTTATATCCCAATAATCCAATTCCATGTAATTATTTAAAAAATGTGTAACTTGAAAACCTCAGTTTTATTTTCCATTAAAAATAAAACATTTGGTTTTTGGCTGTAAATATATTGTTTGCTTTGTCCATCACTACTATGGCAGATAAAGTGATCCTGATCAATGAAAAGATGAACTGGGAGGATGCCTTATACTACTGCAGAGATCACTACCATGACCTGGTCACCATCACCAGCCTGGATGAGCAGAGATGGATCCAGGAGAAAGCCAAGAACGCCTCGACTGATTATGTCTGGATGGGACTGCGCTACACCTGTACTCTGGATTTCTGGTTCTGGGTCAGTGATGAGGTGGTCAGGTATAAGAACTGGGCCTCAGGGGAACCAGTGGATGACTGTGACATGTCTGGAGCCATGGAGACAGGAGGAGAACATAAGTGGAGGAAAATGAATGATCTAGAGGAGTTTAACTTCATCTGTTCTAAGGAATAACACAGATTGTTTTATGGATATTTTCTGTTGCTTTATTCTGTGATAATGAGGATTTTGTGGAAAATATGTTTAAATAAATAAAATAAGTATATTATTAACATAAAGATAATATTTCCACCAAACTACAACACTTGCTTTAAACCTGTTATATATGATTATCTATTTCTGGTTTCTTTCTATGAAACATCTGCTTCTCTAACAGAACATGTTTTACTTTTCCTTTATTTTGATCAATTTATTATTATATTTATTGGATGACTGTAAAAAGGGTGCGCTAGTGTGCAGTTACTTCAGGAATACAGAAAGAATAATATAAATACAGTAAACATTAAATATATTAATAAATAAAAAGTAATCACACCATGTTTTTAGTGTTTTCTTTCCTTTTTGGGTTTATCTGGAGAACCCAGGCCTAATAACAGGTTTTTCAAAGGTGTGTGTACAGGGCTGGGCTTGGATTTTTGCAAAGAAATTCTTGGTTAAAATTATAAGTGTGTCAATTACAGTATTAGAAACAAAACATTTTATTTAGTAAAGAAAACTTTGTTTATAATCGTAGATATTAAACATTTCATGTATTTATAGACAAGGTTTGCTCACATTGCTGCAGGGATTATGGACCACTCCTCCATACAGATGTTCAGATCCTTCAGGTTTCAGGGCTGTAACTGGGCAACATGGACCTTCAGCTCCCTCCAAAGATGTTTAGATTGGGTTCAGGTCTGCAGACTGGCTAGGCCACTTCAGGACCTGGAGCTGCTACTTATGAAGCCACTACTAAATCTTTTCTTTATTTGGATCCCATTAGTTCCCTCAAGGTGGTTGCTAGTCTTCCTGGGCTGGGGTCCTAGAAATTTTTTTTAAATTATGTGGATTTAATATAAATTAAATACAGTACAAAAATAAATACCAAGTATTTGTGTTGGAAAACAAAACAGAAATACAAAAGACATTTTATAAAAAAGACTGAGGACAGTACAGAGTCACCTCACCAAGTGACCTTTGATTTTCCTTTTAAAGATTATTTTTTCATTTTTTTGTCTCTGAGATGTGATGGAAAACAATTCCCTGCATTTGGCCTCTGTTAAAATCAATACTTCTCATAGAAACTGAATTGTGCCTGAGGACCAGAAGAGAATCTGAGGGGGTTTCAGGCTCACCTCTCCACACAGTGCAATTAAAACTAGTTAAAAAAAAAACTAGTCAATCCACATTGAATTTATTTACTGACATCACTCATGCTGCTGTTCTGTTACCTGATGCAGACTGATGGTGTGTGTGAAAGAAGCAGACTGCACATTCCTTAAGT